GTCGGATTTAACAATCCTGTGCTGGGAAGGCTAAGGCTGGGCTGGCGTTTGTAGTGAACTTCGCCACGAGGTTGGATACAGTGCATGATCAACATTTACATCCGAGGGGCTGATTTAACGCATTCTGGTAGGCGGCCCATGTGAGACACCACGACCTCCAGTCAAGTCAGTCACTCCCTCACACGTCTGGCTCGGGAGGCGGAACTGCAAGTATCAAGTATATTGAACAGGTTTGGTGGAGTCAACAACATGTCGGAAAGTCGGCTTGGAAATGCACATGTGGCGATAGGCCTGTAGCTAGTGTATGAAACGATGAAACGCTGCTTGAACGCCGCACTAGCTGCGCAGTCTATGCCCAGTTCTGAAGCTCGCGACGTTTGGTGTGGCACATCTTTGCGAGCCGACCGATCAATCAGAGAGCGCGAGTGGGAGGCGTGGAGAGAGCAACGCGTGCGTGACTACGCAACGTGATGGGCTTAGAAGAAGCATATCGGATGCATCCTGGTAGATGAGTCTTTTTCGCGTCGAGGCAATATACTGCTCTGGCAGACATGATGATGATATTCTTGACGCGCGTTGCGTCGACCTACTTGTATGTACAGAACAACATAGCCACGATGGCCAAGACAGCATTCGTAATGCACAGATCAATGAACTCAGTCGTTCATCCAAGCTGTCACACGGTTCGCGCCAAAGCGTCCTGCAAACCGCAGACCCGTGGAGCCCATTGGGAAATACGAGACGATGTACCATAATAGACATACTAGTTGGGCGATAGCCGCAACGAAGGTCAAGATGGTGCTGTGGAGCTAGTCACGCGGACAGTGTCAGTAAACACAAACTATGGGGACGATAATCGATAAGGGAGGCGTGGGGGCTCGCTCTCGGGCAGCCATGAACAAGGGTCGACATGTAGCAGGGATTAATGTACTGGGGTAGGAACTTGAACTTACACCTAGAGAGAAGAAGAGTGTGAGGGCGATGCTGCCGAAGTAAGCAGCAGTGAACGGAAGCCTCGGACCAGAAATGAGGTGCTGAACTGATATTTTGTCAGCGACGGTAGTGGTGGGCTCGGATAATGAGGCTGCTTACCGTATTGCATAGGGCCCATGAGGACACCCCAAGCTGCCAAAAAGAGAACGCTTCCCATGGACCATCTGCAATCAGGCCATGGATGTTAGCGCTAACGTTCTTCAGGTGATGTGCATACGACTTGGCGTGGCAGAGTCTGGACTAGGTGAAGGTTGTCTGCACCCTGCAGCGCGCCGAACCTTGGACCCGCATGATCGCTACAGAGGGTCCAGCGCCGATCTCTGGTGGCTAGAGAGTCAAGCGACTGGATTCGTGCAGGCTAACGTCCGCAGTCGGTGAGCGGAAGATGCGATCCTTGACATTGCAGATTGCATGAGTTCGCATAGCCGTGCCGAAGGACGTATGCAGTATGTGTCACTGCCTATCCGCCTTGTATGATCTCACCACTGGCGAGAAGGCTGCATGCAGGGCGCCTTTGGCTGGATACGAGGCAACAGGAGAGCTGAGGACTTACAAAATGGCAAACTTGCGCGGCCTGAGCAGAAAGACAGGCGTGAACATCAGGCCAATACAAGTAGCAAACATTGCCAAGGCAGCAATGAGCAGTCCACCAAACACGAGCAATCGGTCCCACCGACTCACTGCAGGTATGGGTTAGCGGACGTAAACATGAGTCAAAGGTGTGTGCAATGCGAGGGTCCTGCATCCGAAGTGGTAACGCAGGAACTCCCTTCTGTCACATTGTCGGTCGTCGCGCGGCCGGGTACGGTTCGCAGGCAGATGACACGTTGATGCCTGTGGATTTATGGACATCTCCCCAACTAGAGGGATGCGCATTTCAAGAATGCCATCTGACAAAACATGGAAGGAAGACAAAGAACCATGGCGGTGCAGGTGAAACTAGCCCCGACCGTTGTCGTCTGATGACATCACGCGCCACAGCTATAGTGGGAGGGGTCGTAGCAGTAGGGTATATCTCAGATAAAGTGGAGATGGGGAGCGAGAGAGACGCGTAAGGAAGGTGGACGTGTTTCGCCACAGGATGCAATGGAAGGCGTAGACTTACGCGCAAACCACCCCTCTTCCTCCTCTCTGCGGGTAGGCGCTGGGAGAGGGGCGCCAGGGTTGCCCTCTGTTATGGGGAGTCGGACATAGCCTCCCTCGCCGAAGGGATTCAGGTTCTGGATGCGGCCCAGGAAAGAGGGCGGCGCGGTGTTGATGGGCGCGTCTGCCTCTCTCCTGCTCCAGCCGAGCGAGTTCATCGAGTCGCGGAAGGAAGCGGAGGCCATGTTGGAGGTGAACACGAGGTGCTAGCGGATCGCAGTATGCCCAGGTGTGAGGGAGAGTATCGTCTGGGCGTTAGTCGGGAGAAGCTTTGGTCGAAGCCGCAGCAGGCGACACAAAGAGCCGTGGAGGTGCGAGTCTTGGTACGGCTAGCAGATAGCGGCCGTCGACCCTGGCTGGTGTATGTGTAGCTGCCTGGGCCCCGCTGCGGTGAGTGGCTTGGGCGCGTCGTGGGAGGGCACAGCAGCGGTTTGTTCGATTCGGTGCCACTGCTGCTACTGCGAAGACGGACCGGAGGATTTCGTGCAGATGATCGACCTGCGGTGTAGGAGGCAGACGGCCAATGGCAGATGTCAGACAGGCGTCTCAGATGGGACGACGGATGGGCGAGGCTTGTGACGAGGCCGCAGAGGGTGCGAAGGTGTAGCGGAAGGAGCGAAGGACCGGGGGGCGGCTGCGGCGCGTGTGATTGGGCGGCGGGGGACGCAGAGCAGGAAGGAACTCTCCGGCGTGTCGTATGCGATCCGCCTAGTCGTCGTGGTGGAGGGTGAAAGTGAAGGGCATGGAGAGTCTAGCGTCGCCTCGGTGCTCTAGCGACTAGCGCGAGATCGTCTCCCGCTGCCATGAGCCTAGCAAGCATCAAGGACCATGGCCTGGAGAACCACACACACTCTCGGCCAGGTCGGCCATGGCTGCCCTGGACTGTCGACAATGGATGACGCTTGACAGGAGCCCGAAGCCCTTTAGTGAGTCACATTGCGCGCCCTCACCCAGCGCTGCGTAGAAACCGGGTAGCTGAGACAAGATTACCTCGTTCGTGACCAAAAGAGGCCACACCTTGCTGCCGGGGTGGGCGCAGGACCGGGGTGGGCAACAGGCAGAGCCACACTCAGCGTAAGGCGGGTGAGAGATGGCGAAGAGCCGCCAGAGCAGCGAGGTGTATATTATGCGGCCGTGCCGCGTCTCTACCTGTCCAATAATTTCCCTCTCACGACATACTCAGTGTATGTCTACCTGTGGAGTACTCATCACTATATCTGCGGACCACCGCGGGCCGAGCTTCCCTCCACCTCTCCACGACGCCCTCATCTCCGTACGCCTATTCCGTACGCCTATCTCTGTACGCCGCCGCACGTCATCCCCATCTTACGCACCACCGCAGCGGCATCGTCTCGGCGCGCCGTGCTACTCTCTGCCGTTCCCAAGCCCTCGCCCTCGCTGGCTGCGATCCGCGTCAAACAGGCTGATTCGCCATTGCCCATAGCCGCTTGGCGCGCGCACTAGCACCACCACCTCTCTGACCGCCTTCCGGCTTAGGGCCCTCCCACACCGACGCCTCGCTTCAGCTGCCCCGTCGTCGCTCAAGAGAGAGAGAGCCGCTGCAGCCAGCGCAATATCCTCAGCCTGTGCCGCAGACTGTTGCCAAACAAACGCACGGCAGCCCGCCTACCACGCTCTGCTCCACCACGACCAGGCACATCCCACCCTTGATCCCTCCCCGCCATATCCCCCGACTTCCTTCTCCATATCCCACCTCCGCTATTTTACCCACCACCACGCCCGTCGCACCAGGCCTCTTACTGCAAGACGACATAGTTGCCACTCGACCAGCACCTCACCTCTCCATTGCTGCCGCCCTCGACCACCAAGGCAAACCTCTTTGTCCCATCCCACGCCGCTGCATCCAGACCACGACCTCCACCACCACCCTCGACGACCAAGTTTGCTGCCCGTGAACCGCCGCAGCTATCCGTCGGAGCGACCTCACTCCTTCTCTCCGCGACCGAGAGACCGAGTGTTGCAGGTGCATCCCATTGCGCCTTCCTTCAGTTCCGAGGTGAGTCAACGTCCGGCTGCTCTTTCCTTTACCACCGCCTCTCCCACTCCACCGCACCTCGCTTCGGCCTGCGTCGTCAAGACCACGCCAGCCATACCGCGGCCGTGTGTGACGGTTTCGCTGCTTTTGTCCCCTGTACCACCATCCCCACAGCGCCGGGCTACTGCACGGCTGTCGTCCGCCGTCGCTCGCCTCGCGGGTTACCTCGCTGTGCGCCACACTCATGCAACCAACCCTTCAACCGCCCAACACTTCAGACTGCTGGACTGTGCGCTGACATATGCTCTCAGTTCGATCCCGGAACACAGCTCCGAGTTCCCTCACTCCCCCACAACCACCTCCACGCCAGCAGACCCGAACCGGTGAGCCATACTTCCCAGAACGACAACTCTTGCATACAGAACATGGCACTAACGTCTTCTGCGCAGACAAACACTAGCCTCCTCTGCCCCAGATCAGAGGCTTGCTCGTCCCTATCAGGCGTCACTAGCCAGGCCTCTCAGCTTGCTCGCACTGTCCTTGTGCACACCAGATAGCAAGCATCTGCCAGGGTCCTTATAGCGACACAGACCGCCTCGTGCTGCAATCATCCTGCAAGCTGCGAGCGCGATCCTTAGTCACTTGCTTAGATCGACGACAGATCGTTTCAGATCATACACATCCACATTCCTGGAATACTGCAACCCACAGTAATGCCAAAGCCTAGTAAGTACGCCTTTGTGACGTCCCCCACTCTGCACCGTCATGAGAACGGCGCTAGAGTGCTTCCATTTCCTATATCAGACTCTCCTCTCTCCTCCCCTTCCCCGCACTTCCTCTTCCGTCATTTCCAACGTCAATTTCTATCATGTACTACGAGACCATACTGACTGTCCCTCAAGCGGACGCTCTCTTCACTCCTCCCTCTTCCTACTCTCCTCAAAAGCCGATTGCGAGGCTGGACCTTGGCTTCGACTCTCCCTCTGACGACGTGCTAGACGCTGATATCTTCAACATGACTGGCACAGGATCACCTCAACCATACATCAAAGAAGAAGTCGACGAGATGTCTTTCAACCAACGCTTCCTCGGTCACAACGGCCTTGACATGAACCACCAATACGCTAACGCTCAGTTCGCTGGGCACGAGAATGCCAATGGCATCAACCCCTCTGAGCTCAACATGAGCGGGAGCATGATGGGCAACCACTTCGCCGGCAACAGCTACATGCAGGGCGGAGCAGGGATTGCTGACGACGAACTTGCCGAGTCACTTGGCACTTTCGAACAACAACCAGCCTTCAACAACTTTGCCCAAGAGCAGGCTGGCCAGCAAGACTACTACCACAGTCACACCAACAACCCAAATATGAACCAGGTCTACTCAAACACCCCAGACGACCTGCCTATCCACAGCCCTTTCAACCACCCTGGCAACTTCGACTTCAACCAGTACCAATCAGTACCACAGAGGATGAACTTCCCTGGCAGCATGCCCAGTGGATCCATGCGCCAGCGTATCACCATGAGCCGGACTGGTTCTGACAGCCGTGCTCCCATGTCACCAAAGACCCCTGCCATGGCTGGTCTCCACCTCGGCACGCCAGACTCTGGTAACTTTACTCAGCCAATCATGACCAACATGCACCGCCATCAAAAGAGCGTGTCTGGCCAGTGGGACGGCACTCCCGGAAGTGCGCACTCATGGATTGACTCGCCCACCGCGTCACCCCACCAGGGTACCATGCACCACCAGCAGATCACCGATGTCCTGCATTCCGGCAAGCACAACTCACTACCCGCCAAGGTCGATATTGGCCAGAACGCAGACGCTAAGAAGCGCCGGCGTCGGGAGTCTCACAACTTGGTCGAGCGTCGCCGACGGGACAACATCAACGAGCGCATTCACGACTTGTCTCGTCTTGTACCTCAGCATCGCCTCGAGGACGAGAAGATCCGCAAGCACATCAACAACAATGGCCCCTTGTCACCTACCATGGGCGCCACCGGCATGTCGCCTCCACAAGCAACGTCACTTCTCGCTGGTGGCAATGGAAGGCGGGCCGCTGGTAACATTACACAGGGATTGCCCATCGAGGAGAAGGACAAGGGCCCGAACAAGGGTGACATTCTCAACGGTGCTGTCAGCTGGACTCGCGATCTCATGTGGATGCTGTCCAAGAAGCTTCAAGAGTGTGACGAGCTAGCTGCACGACTTCAACAAGCCACTGGCGAGGAGTGGGTCACCGAACAGACTGAAGACGAGAAGCGCATGAAGACCGAGATCCTCGAGGCTCTTGAGAAGAACGGCTCGGGTACCTTCCGATACTCGCGAGGCCCTGGCTCCGGACTCCGAGTGCCCAAGCACACCAACTTGGCCGGTGAACCTATCAGCGGCGCATCTCCACAGAGTCTTAGCCCAGGCATGCAGAGTACCGGTAGCGGATCTGGATCGAACCAGCAGCAGTACTGGTCCAGTCTCAAAGAGGAGGATGAGTACGGCATGGACATGAACTGATCCAAAGCCTACTAGCTGTCTCTGTTCTTCCGGCCTTTCCATCTCGTTGTCGATTCCTTCACTATGATACCCCGCGATACCCCGCACCCGTTCCTGCATCCTGCTTGATGCATACGCTAGAGCTGCTACAATGAGGCTAAAGACACCTCACATCGGTCGACCGTTCCTCGGCATGTCGTCGCCCGCGCGCGTACCGTCTCTGCTGGCCAAGGACGGATGAAGCTCTCGCCTGCATCAAAGCACTTCCCATTTCGTTGCATAATATGTTCTACCCCTCCGTGGCACATCATCACCCTGGTTTCCCGCTCCTCATCACCCGAGCTTAGCCTACCAACCGGAGCACGAAGGTCTTCGGCGCTTCGGTATTCGACACTCTCCGTACACGGCGGTCTCTCCTTCTGGCAGCTCTGCGACTCGCTTTCCTTCATCTATTTACATCTTTCTCGCATGTATGTGGCGTGTCACGGTTGTTTACCTGCAGTTTTGCACATCACCACTCTTGTCTTCTTTAATGACGGTTTTGTTTATGGGAGGCACATGTAAGCATGGTCGGCGCGTTTCGGATTGTTGGCGTTCTATGGTGTCAGCACTTATGTTGGTGGGAAGAGAATGATAGATGCAGAAGACGTTCGGATAACGCTTGCTATGGTTACGATGGGCCTATGGGAATTCTTGCTACTGCGCGTTCTGCCTTTCAGTTCATGGGCTCTGACATGGGCCGATTGGTCCCAGATACAATTTCATCTACATCAATAACCCCCGTCTTTCATGCCTTGACAAGTGAGGTGAAGTTGGTCGAGCCGCGGCTCACCCTGTCCATCCGGCGCTGGAGGCGACCGCCACAGTCCTCCCGTCAGGCAGCCAGTGTGCAGGACGAAAAGGTCCACAAAAGCAACATCCCGCATTCCTGCGTCTCTACCACGCCTCTCCCGTGTCTCAGCCTCATAGCATTCACAAGTCTTAGATACGAACGATCCGCCATTGCCGCCGCCTTCACGCAATCTCCAAGATTGCGCAAAGACTGTGATACACGGACTACTTGGTCAGCTAAGCTGTGGCGTCGGCGCCATATGTAGTAGCGCTGGATCTCGTACAACAATACCGTATCTAGGGCTTATGGGAAATTGAGAAAAAAGCAAATCTAGCCCGCCCGCATCTCAACGGCTAACGAAGGCATAGAGAGAAAAAAGCAATTTGCAAAGAACAAGTCCGAAGAACGGCTCCGGATGGTGAGACCGGGTGTTTGGTTGTTTCGGGTGGTGGGGTGAGTCGTGACCGGTGGAGCATGGGGAATGCAGATATGTATGGGTGTGTATGGGTAGTGAGTAAGTAGTACATGCAGGTGACGAGAAGAAGAACAATGACCTGGCTTGGTTGGTTGGTTGGTTAGGTTAGTTGATTGGGTCGGGATCACTTGGACGGGGATGGGAGAGGTTTTGATTGCGCATTCCTATACGTTTGATGCGGACGTGGTTGTTCGGATGAAACGACGGATCACGATGCATCCCATCCATCTCATCCCGTAAGAACAAGAAAGAAAATACGTCAATATCCCGGCTGACATTCCCACCAACCAAACCCTCCCTCGCAATCACCTCATCACAAACCCCATGCCATGCAGTCCGTCCCGACACGAAACACCTATATCATCTCTCCCATATACCCCGTCCTGCGTCCCCGCCATTCCTGCCGGCAGATCACCCCCCATGCTACCCATGCTATAAGCACGCTACGATCGGTCTGCAAAACGGCCTCGGGTCCCGCAGCCAATCAGCTGCGTACGTCCTTACTACGTCCTTCACTCACGATGCAGTGCTATCCAATCGAGGGGGTCCGTGTCCATGGCGAATGGAATATGCGCAATGTGCAGGTAACCGTACTGTATACGCGAGCGGCGAAGGGTTCTGCAAGAAGAGACAAAAGCCGTTGCTACTGGGGGTAGGGTTGGGGTAAAGCAAGGACGTGGAATGGAATGGAATGGAATCAACCGGCGAAGGGGGACCTTGTCGCGATATTGCTACACGATGGCATTGCGTCTACAAGGGGTATAGCCACTTCTCTAACGTTTGACGGAACAAGGAGAGGGGATGGGGGGGCACGATCGGTGTTGAGGGGGTTTTGGTTGTGACATTGCAAGGGAGTCGGCAGGTGGGCTTGGGGTGTTGGGATCGGTACTGACATCTGTTGTGCAACATGCGTACGTACGCACGCTAGTGTGGATAGCTGTGTTATGAGAGTGCTATAGCGAGGTACATTATAGTATGATAGCATGCACAGTTATGCCGTTGTAGTTGCTAGTGCGCATGTTCGGTATAGCTGGCATAACACTGCGCATGCATGCGGATCAGGTTCAGCAAAGGACACCGACGCTTTTTCATCTGGATTCAACCCGTAATTCTCTCGTCGCAAAATGTACACGGTGCCTTGCGCAACGCCAAACCCGCACTCGCCCGTCTCTCACGCCCTCCCACAGGACACTGAAAAGCCCATCTGCCACCGACGTCACAACACGAACCCCCCCGTAGACACAACCACACTGTTTCAGCGGCGGAAACAGCAGTAGCGCGAAAACAAAATGTTCATGGCGCTACCAAAGATGCGCATCGCACATGTTCAGATAGCCGGACTGTTCAGCAGGGAAGATGGGCGTTGAGTAAGTCATCGTGCCCCCATCGGCAGTGTCAGCTAGCCGGCTGTACGACCGTTACACCCCCCGATCTGCAGAGCAGTGCCGTTTCCTAGATCTAGGTTTGCGGGGGATGACTTGCAGGTCTCGGTTGAAGATCGGGTCTGACGGTTGCCACTGCAGGATGACGAGGGATGGTGATCGATGGGGATGTGTAGCGGTGAACAAGGTGTATTTGCGCCGCTATCTTATCGAGGTTCTACAAAGAACGATGTGATTCAGATAGACCTGCAGTGCTATCTGCGCTGCCTTGTCTTTCATCGGATCTGTTGTGGCGCGCCCGGGTATCACCAGTATCCTCGGTGTTTACAACATCTGCCAAGCTGTCATGGGCTTTCCTTGTTGTGTCCAAGTTGCTTGTATTTGTGCCTTTCGCGGAGATGGATGCCAATGCCGATGCCGCCGATCCGACCATCCCCTTGTCTCACTATGTGCTTTGCCGTTCTGGTCCAGGGCATCCTCTCGATGTCACCTGTCGAATCTGCAGTCTCGCTGCAGGGCGCGCATGGGGCGTGCTCACTCATGCGCATGTGTGTCATTTGGCACGTCGAAGGTTTTCGGAAAGAAGAGTGGAGACGTATCCCGAGGGATCTGTGTGAGGCCACGTTCTTCGGATGCTGCCAAACGACTGATCACGAGGACCGCATCCTTCACACGAATAACAACTCAGTATTCTAGGCTCCGCGAGGTTTGTTTTGGCCGTTGGGGTGCGGTGACTGAGATGCATTTGCAGCTGTGGTAGCCGCGTTGGGGCCGTCGCTGTCTTCGCCGAAGCCGAGGTTCTTGAACGAATCCGGGGCCATCAGATTTCTAATGCGGTGATAATGGTCAGCGATATGCTCATCATGCATGGGAAATAATAAGAGCAAGAGGACGGATGCGCGACTCGGCAGATGCTGCCGAAATGGAATGACAGAATGGCATATCAGCGAATGGGACGATAGGCGGCGCAGTATGTTTGTATGACGGTACAGCAATGGCTGATCGAAGTAATCTAGGAAATGGTACGTACCGATCCATGCGACAAGAGAGGTATGACTTGGAGAGGCCGCGGCATTCGGGGTCATTGGTGCCGCGATGCGACTTGATGCATCGGAGATACGAGAGCATGATGTCCTTGCATTCCCCTGTGATGTAGTGTAAGCGGTCTATGCGTATGGATAGCAATAGCGGCGTGGCGTCGAGATGGCTAGGTCGATACGGTATGATGCGGAAGTAAAAGTCAAAGTTCGGGAAGCGTACCGTCGTGGTCGAGAGGGAATGAGCCGCGCTCTGGCCTGAAGTGAAACAATTGTTAGCACAAGGATGTGCAAGATGGGAAGAGGCAGCCATGTTGTCTGAGTACGCAAGGGTCGAGACGAGAAATGCGCATAGAGGGAAGAACTCACGGATTCGGCTTCTGGACCTTTTGCCCAAGTCCGGCGCCTCCAAAGTTGCTCATAGCGGTCGGGAAGTTGCTGAATTCCTTGATTGAATAGATCTCGGGGATCCGTGGGGTAGTGGGTGGGCTGTATGGTCGTGGGGAAGTATGGTGGTGACTGTGATGCTGAGTGAGGGCTGGATAAACTTAGCGCGATCGGCCTCGTTCGGTGGCCAGTGCTGCAACCTCGGGATGACGTGCCTTGTGCATCGCGCTGCAGGGCAGGCCGACATCACGACCTCTGCACCACACTTGCATTCTGTATCCAAACTATCGTGATCAAGTTCAATTCATTGTGCGACGGTAAATTTCGACCCTGCTATGTCTACGTCACTACCGAGAAGGATACTTAGGTAACGTGTACGCGTGCGCAGTTCGGCTCTCCAGCCCATCCCACAATCCATCTCCAACGCGTATCTCAAGAGATCATAATCCTCCCAGTCGTCCCAATCTACGAAATCTATTCCGCACCCTCACCCCCATCCTCAACCTCAGAAGCCTTTGCGTCCTTGCCGAACTTAAGCTTCGCCACCTTCTCAAGGTGATCCAACTGTTTGTCAAACCCCTCGTAGATCTTCTCCATCATCTTGAGATTCCGCATCTCCGCGTGGTATCCCTCCCAGATCTTCTCGATCTTCTTCAGCTCTTGGAGGGCCTCCTCCCGCTTCTCCTCAGGGCTTTGAAGTTCCTGGCGTTCACGCTCTTCCTCGTCGAAGATGTTGGGGCCTTCCTCGTCGTCGAGGCAGCGGGGTCCGTCCCAGCGTGCGCAAAGTGACTTGTCCTCTGCTGTTGGGACGTAGTCGTCCGCTGTTGGGAGGGGGGTTAGCATAATAGGTTGCGGAGCCGCGATGGTAGCTCGTGCTATCGACACAAGATACATACCTATTTTCGGAACTGCGCCTTGCGCACGAGGCCTGCGGTGGTCGTTGTAGACCCATTGCTCGTGTGCGACAGCGGAAGTGGCGAAGAGGCCAGCGACTGCAGCCAGGATGGTGGTGAGCTTCATGGTGTTGAGAAAAGTCGTTGCTGATTTGGGACTTGATATGGTCGGGATTTGAATCGTGACCAAAAGACACTTGATGTGAGGGGATGTGCTTAAGAAAAGAAAGAGATGGGAACGTCGTCATTTTGTAGGAAGATGTGGCCCTGCTGTTTCCTTGGTACCGGGTATCCAAATTTCAGTTCACGGCGAATGGTACTGCAGCATTTTCTAATCGAGCACTTTCCTACACGACGTGCTCGAGCGGGCCAGTCACAAATACTGGTGTTGAAGGAGTCGGGCAAATTTGCGCTGGCTACCACGGGTGTAGTGCTCTTCACTCTCCTACCACCCAAACCTTCCCTCGACATGTTTGCTGGGTTCGGCTTATTCACGCAGGACATCGCGCATACCTTGATCGCATCTAGTGGCGCTGGAATATCTTTGTGCAACCAGCCAGCACGCGATCGTTGACCACAGGTCCTACATTGTCAAGAGTCGCCTGACCGTGGCATGCAATCACACCGCCATATCAGGCAGGCAGCACTTTTACTTCGGGTGCGAACCTTGTGGAGGCATAGGATACTCGGCCTCTCATCGTAAGATGGGTATCAACGAGCCGTATCGTGGCGTTCAGTCACGGAATATCAGCAATTACACACATCGTTGTGAGTATCAAGCGAAGCAACCAACATCGCGATGTCAAATTGATATAACGCGACTACAATAACCCAACACAACCAATAACCTGGCAACTAACGCCAAACACCCCATCATCGAGTACAGTACCGACTGGCATCCATAGGGAATCACGGAAGCAGCCCATCACACCATAGTCTTCTTCCCCCCATACCGCCCATCCCAATTCTCATACCCCCCATACTTCCCCTCGCAATCAGGATTCAGGCCTGCCCCCCTCCAACGTGATAAGCGGATGCGTGCCATGGTAGTCTAGCCTACACACCTCTCATTAGCTTCCCTGGTCTCGAAATCCAAAGAACAAAACCCATTTCGGCTTGGATGATAGATAGGGAAGAACTTACGTAGTAGCAATAACACTCGGACAATTCGTAATCAACCGCCCGTCCCAGTACTCGGAACAGCCGCCGTAGCCGTAGTGGTCTTTGTCATGCTGATGGTGGTTGTGCTTGTGCTTGCGGGGCTCGAGATCTGACGCCATGGTTATGAGCGTCGTGTGCGTTGCGGTGACGACGGGGGCGGCGGTGGTTGTCGGGGCAGGAGCAGAGGCGGCAGAGGCAGCGGTCATGCGCGGCATAGCCGTAAAGTCAGGCGTTGATGGCGCCGCAGGCGTCGGGATCGAAGTGGGGCCGGCGAAGGCAACGGAGGCCAGGGCCAGGGGGAAGGCGATGAAGAGGCCACGCATTTTGGTAGTTTAGTTTGGTTTGACTTGGTGGTGGTGCGGAAAGCTGTTGTGGAGTAGACTGCTTTTGAGGATGGTAAAAAAAGAAGATAGAAGAGAGAGAAGAGATGCGTTATATAGGAAGTATTCGCATAGCAGCAGAAAATTCCACGAAAAGTCAAGCCATGGTTGAGTATTGAGGATTATCAATACCGAAGAGGAATACTTAAGGCTCAACCATGGGATTTCGCGCAGTACTAATGACACCGGTGGATATGAATCGGAGAACTATGGTTCAAGCGAGCATTTTGTTGCACGAAAGAACTAGAGGGGTCGAGGCGCCTCATACATAGAACAAAGTAGAGAGGCCTGCAGCCTACATCGAGTTAAAGTCACGCAAAGTAGATGACCCAACGTCGACGTAGGCTCCAGGGTGTGCACTCTTTTCTCTGTAATGAGGTAGCCTGCAGCCTACATCAAGATAAAAACACGCAAAACAACCAGCCTCACGTCAACGTAAGCTCTTGGGGTGTTGGGTCTTGTCTGTGAAATGAGGTGGATTGAGAGAACTACGGTTCAGAACCAACCAACACAGGGGTATCGAATCAAACATCACCACCAACTCACCAATGCCGCGCAATAACCAGCCAGCCTCTCTCCTTGACCGCATTGAACAGCACCGCGACCCGCTTCCGCTTGATGCCCTCTCTAGCCGACACATCCTCGATCGCATGCTTACCATCCAGATGCCTGAGCAGCATGGGCCAGCTCTCCCGCAGCTCTTTACCGGTGATGCCACCCAGCGCGCCATCTGCGTGTTTCGGCGGACTGGGATTCGTCGAGATGATTGCCGTCTCTTCGAATGTCTGGGCGATCTTATCGAGCCACCGCGCTTCTATCGATGACGCTTTCTGTGGCGATAGAATGGTGGTGGGTGCGAAGGACGATGGGTCTGGTGGGGCGAGCTTCTCTACCGGAGATGTGGGCGAGACTATCGAGTTGCGCGATGGAGACGGGGAGGTCGGCTTCAGATGGAGAGGCGACGGGCGATGCGGCTTAACATCTCGAAGCCCGAGATGCGATGGCGACTCCGCCCTCTGCGACGGAGTGAGCGCAATAGTCGTGCGTTGACTGCTCGTACTCCCGGCGTCCGAACTCGTGCGCGCAGAAACGCTACGCGACATGGCGGTCGATCCGAGCCGTGGGCTCAGTATCGTGCTGCTCTCCATCTCCTCGTCCGCATCTCTGCGCGTGCGGCGCAAAGGCGATGAAGTCCTCGCAGAATTTAGCGAGAGCAAGCTACTTCGCTTGTCGGAGGAGAGAAGACTATCCGCCACCGAGTCATTGTCGCTCATCAACTCTCTGCGCGCCTCTTCAGCTTTCTTGATGCGCTCTTCTCGCTCCATCTCCGCTGCGACTTGCGCTTTGATCTCAGGCGTTACACGCACCCAAGCGAATGTGCGCAACTGCGTGACCCAGCCGCCGCGCATGAGCCACGCTAGAATCTCCATGTACGCTTCGCGATGTTCGGCTGTAGGTATGAAGTTCCTGTACGGCCGTGGTGTACCGGATAGCATGCTCAGTACTTTGGGCAGCGTAGGCAACGTGGGGAAGCGCTGCGCATATACTGAGATTGCAGCTGGGAGAACAGTCATGTCGGCGTTTGGACTGACAATATACGTGTCGCGTGGTGATAGCGGAGCAACGAGACGTGCCCGCCGCCAGTAGACAAGATGGCTCGCTATGTATTCCATATCGTGCGCGGATATGTTATGCTTCTTCGAGATCTTCAGCAGCGACTTGGTGGGTATGATGTTGCGTATGTAGAATGCGATGGCTGCGGCGTTGCCACCTGTATCACCGCCCAGGTCTTTGATCAGCACTTCGGCGTCCTCCAAAAGCAGCAAGGCGGCATGCTGTGTCATAGGCGCATCATCGTCTTCAAGTATGACGTTCGAGGTCGTGAGCCATAGACCTGGCATCTGGGGTTCGATGGCGGTGGGGAGGTAGGGAGTGGAATCGGCCTGGGGGATCTGGAAGGATGTGTTGAACGTCGCATCGAAATGGATGTGGGCTATCTTGTCGTGCGAGATTGCGTCGAACATGATAGCGATAGACTTAGCGAGGGGTGACGTGCTGACAATTTTGCGCCATGTCGCCGTGAGCGACTCGTTCGTCTCCTTGGCGCGCTGCTTGATGTCGATGATGCGCTTAGACTCCTTCCACACGTACTGGAACCGCGCCTCCTCGTACTTGAGAGCTTTGGCATACTTGCGCGTGACGTTTTCGTACATCTCCTTGACGCGTTGTTGGTATTCCAGCGCAGGCGGGTTCAGCACGAAGACGACGTTGAACATGGTCATGTCCGGGTTGTTGATGTCAAGACTCGTAGAGTTGCTGCGTGCATCTGATCCAGCCTCTGACGGTCCGCTCGACATGGAGTCGTGGCCGTAGCCTGGCTCGAATCCTGGGACCGGTTCGTTCGACGGTTCGGGGGAGTTCGCGTCGTCGTCGTCGCTTGCGCTCGTGAGATTCCTCACCAGATCGCCGTCCTCAAGCTTCTGTTGATCGGAGCGCTTCTTCTTTTTCCGCTTCGCCTTCTTCCAGAGCCCGTCATCTCGTACAAACATGGGCGCGCCGAGAAAGACGATGCTCTCAACGCCAAGCTCGAAGCGCCTCTTGTTGTATTCTTTGCTCGGGCTCAGCATCTTCTCCAGCGCATCCATCTTGAAGCCCAGCACCGTATCCCAGTCGTGATCTCCACCCTTGCCCCGATGTCCATTACCGTCCTGGTCATTGTCGTCGTCCGCATCCTCCTCGTCGATTGTCTCCTGCTTGCCCCATAGCCCCGACCCCAGTTTGGACTTGTCGCTCACGCGGCCGGTCAGGGTCCTCCCCGATGCGCGACCGCCGCTGGTGCGACTGCCTATCTCGATATCATTATCGTCGTCCGAGTCGGTGCTGCTGTCCCATTCGCTATCGGAGCTGCGCGAGTCGACGCTGGCCGTCGACGTGTCGTGCCTGAACCAAGCCGGGTCTTTCGCGGCGGCGAGTGCGGCTGCCGAGGGCGAAAGCGGTGGATAGTGGAAGACGAGACGGGGGCCGAGCGACCGCGACTTGGTGACGAGGAGGATGGCGTGGAGGTTGGAAGCGGGTGGCAGCGGGACAGCCATTGGAGAGTGGAGGACGGGCAGGTGCTGCATGCGGGGAAAGAAGCTGCGGAGCCCCGGGAGATCTAGCCCGAAGCAGACAGCTCTTTCACCCCATCTTCGAGGAACGCGCACCGACAACCATACATCAATCCAGCACTTTGCAGGCCAAGGTACGACCCCGAGTAACTTCAATGCGCCAGCGATGTCATAGTGGCGAGCGATTCCGGTGAATAGTGAACTCGAAGACGTCCTTCACGGGACTACAGCGAGCGATAAGGAGCAAGAAAGGCATAGGTATCTGGCTTGACCATTCTGCTAATGACTATCGCCGTCTCTTTCGAAGAAAGAAGAGTCTAGGTTGCACTGTGCATATTCGCGAGTCGATTCAGTACAATGACCTCAGGTCGTACAAGGTCTTTCTAGAGTACTAAAGTAAGGTAGTCAATGCTTAACGCACGTAACGTTTCCCCCCAGACAATATAGATCGCCTAGTACAATCTGATCACATAGCGACGGGCCACTGGAATATTGAGAAATTGTCAACCATGCGGACCTCGCCTCCGTATACCCCGCGTACAAATCCAGGCAGTGTGCCCACCGCAGATATCACGCAATACTACCTCGACGAAGATTTGACCAAACTCGCAGGCTTCATCACTAGTGTACCCCCGGATCTCTTATACAACATCATGTCCGCCGCGACTGAAGCCGATCTCAGAGCACTCCTCGCCCTTATCAACCCATCCGATCTACGCATCGAGCCCGGCTACCTGATGACCAGAACTTGTACGCGCGTGTCAAACTGGCTAAGAAATGGAAGTCAAAGATGGGCGGTGAGTAAGGACGTCATTCCGTGTGCGCTCTTCCTGCTTCTCAAGTTCAGGGTCTTGACGCGCGATGGGGTATGTCACTCGCAGACGCACGAGGAGAGTCTCAGACTTGCTGCAGCCATCAAGACTGCGTATGGGAATCTTTGTGACAGTAGGGTGTCGCCAAAGGCGTGGGCCGACGTTATGGGTAGACAATACGCAGATATTCAGAGCGCTGAGATCGCGTTCTTGAAGGACCTGGACTTTAGGACGTGGGTACATGAGGCTGACTTCAAGGAGTTTGTGGGTAGGTTCGAGATCGTGTGGGAGACGTTGCTTGAAGATCAGGATGACGTTTTCTTTTGACGGCCGCTTGAACCTACTCTCGATAGCGAAAGTGGACGTAGCGACGATCTCATTATGATTTGAATTTGATTAGGTGTCTTGCAAGCGCTCCCGCGTGCGACATTGAGACAGCACAGAGCCAAGATGTGTTGTGAGAACATTGTCACAGCCACCGGGCTTGATACACCTTAGTCAATAGTATTCAGTGCCATAGTGCAGATTCACGACGCTGCTTTCACAACACGAGTCGCGTATGCCCTCAAGAAATGCGTTTTATTCTACCCTCGTCCTCTTTCCAATAAGCACGTAGTGGCTGACACCCTTTGCTAACAAGACACCCGCGCCCGGATAGACATGACCTCACGAGCGTCTTACGACACCATCGACAACTATCTCGTCATACCCCAGCCTTACACATCGTCTTTCCTCGCTCGTCTCAGCACATTCATCCTACACGCCCCACTCGACGTCGTAGAGTCTACGCTCCAGTCACCTCCCACGCGTGACGGTGAGCTCGCACACATCAACCCTAACAGCGACACTCTACGCCCCACGCAATTCATGACTACCGTGTGCCAAGGCCTACTCCAATTCCTCAACATGGACTTCGACAAAGCTGATCACGCTAGTTCAGATACCATCCCTCTCGCCTTATGCCTACTGCTCCGCTATCGTGTAGCGTCTTCTTCCACGTTCCAGCGTGAAGAAGAGCGTAAGTACGAATACGCGATCTCAAGTGAGGATGGAAGTGAACTTATCACTCTCCCTATAGCCTATGTCACGTCCAGATCATGTTACCGACCAGAAATGAGTGATGCAACGCTTGTTGCGATAGCGGTGCACACGGCGTACAAGTTCCTTGCTCACGATTGGGTGAATTTGGAACATTGGGCGGTGCCACTGCAGCTGAGTAGACATGCTCTGCTGGGAGGTGAAAGAACGTTTTTGAGGGTGATTGAGTATGCTGTTTGGGTGAGGCAGGAAGAGTATCTGCAGATGAAGGGTAGACTTGATGACTTGTGGGAAGAGGTGTTTAAGAAGGCTGTTAGACAGCCGCCTCCGGAGTTTGTGACGAGGAGGCTGAAGACGAGAGGATGAGGTAATGTAGTATTGAATGGATTGCTCAGAGTTACGAACCTAGTAACATGAGAACGATATTGAATCAAAGAATTGCGCCAGGTATACCAAAGTCAACAAGATGCAATGCTATCACGATTGAAGTAACCCAGGAGTGTATTTGACGTTGTCGCATAAACGGCGCGATGGATTTCGACACAAAAAGTGCCATGTCAGGCCTGCTTTTTCCTGAATGAGCAATGTCTGCTACTCGACTTGAAGTACACACCCGCAGACGTGCCTCTTCTCCTTATTTGTATGAAAGCCATCGGAGCGCTGGTTGAAGTCGCAAGTATCAAGTCTGGTGAAATCGTCGCGATCGTTCCTTCAGGAGAAAATATTGACGTGTGTAATGACTGGACACCAGGAGGTCCGTGAGGCCACTTTTGACTTCAGCTACCGCAAATGCCATCAGGGACAACGCTTTGAGCGGTAGCATAGCCGGGGATGTCGTATTCCCGTATGACATCTTGCTGTACGTGAGGTTAAATACTATGGGGTAAGTGATCAACTCTCCAGCTCCACCGCAACGACGCCTTATCGAAATATTGACAGCTGGAGTTGTCGATACGAGTAAAAACAACGGTGCAGAAGTCGCCACCGTCAGCCTCGACGCACATCATGTCGCAATCGAGAACGCCGCAAAGATTGGGTGTTGAGAGGCCGTACGGCAGTGACACCCCATGAATAGTGATAATCGATCATAAGGCATGATGTTGCAATGCGTGTCTGCGACGAGAGTGAGAAGCCAGGCGAGCAGAGTTCCCCCCTCGCCTGGATGTGCACCCGACCTGAAACACAAGCGGGGGAAACACGATGACGGCGACGATCCATGCCACGCAACTGGTTGGCTCCGGCTGACGGTGATGTGGAAAGGGTGCAGACGCCACTCGCCATGCGACTTCCCCGAGTACAGACGCGAGGGTAGTAGGCGCAGAAGGATGGACGTCTCCTTAAGGCTGCGGCGGCAGTCCTGAGCTTGTCTTTGCCTCACTACACTCACCTCCGTCGCTCGTTACGAACTGTATGATCATGTGGGCGTCTATTGGGATATGGCTGTTGTTTGCGCAGGTCTTCGCGCTGGGTGTTGCTGCGCATCGCGACTGGTGGCTGCAGAGTCTCCCCCAGTGTTGGCGGGACTGCTTTGGGAACACAGACGATGGCTGCAGTTATAGGAAATGTAAGTTCAACACTATCAAACTTCACCGTATCACGGACTGATGTGGCCCCAGGCATATGTCAGACGAGCGAAAGCAGCACCTCGTACCTCTCCAGCGCAGTCGCGTGCGCGGTATCCTCATGCAAAGCCGACGAATCGGACATCGAACTCGTCCTCGGACCGCTAGAACTCTACTGCGATGCCATCGGCTGCACGATACCAGCTGAGGTGGTGGAAGACGCCTACGCTGCTGTGTCGAGCACCGCCGCAGCCGACCCTCCGAAACCCACGCACGCAGCCCCAACAACCAAGCCCGCGCCCGCCGCACCCAAGCCCACCACCACGACCCAAACCGACGAACATGACGACGCCGGCGCTGATTTGACCAGCGCAATCAGCACGACCATAACGAAAACTTCGACCGATGGCGACGGCAACACGCTGCAGATAATCGTGCCTATAGTCATGGGCCCGACGCAGATTAGTACCGGCAGCATCGTCACGTCGACTGTGGCTGGTGGCACGCCCGTGTCCACGATCTCGTCGCCTAGCCCCTCTGCCCAGCCTTCCGCTCCGGTGCGGACACCAGGCGCCTCCTTTACGCAGACATCGTCGGCATCGGGGTCGGAAGAGACAGATCCTCCGCCGGCCAACGGCAACGGTAGCCCGTTCGAGAATATGCAGGCCGGTGCTGGGAGGTGGTCGCTGTCAACACCAGGAATGGCGTTTGGGGCTTTCGCTGCGCTGCTGTTGCGCTTGTAATTGACGATCGTCCAGGAGAGCTGCTTCCTTCCTCAACATAACGCAACATGACGATACTTGAACCATTTACTCCGGGAAAAGCGCCGACTATCTAGATCGCATAGCGTGTTTGCTTTTTGAGGGTTCGAGGATGAGTATGCGGTGAGGTTGTCTTGTGGTACAAGAACCTCCGCCGCTCTATTTGCTGTACGATACCTAGTTATGATGAATGTTCGATACGAAAGATTACCACCCCAAGACCGTCCTCACGATATCAATGAAGTCCTCAATGCGAAGTTGTAGTCACCCCTCGTAGACCCTGATCGCCGGAATGCCAGCGGATGACTTTGGTCCACGCGCATCATCCCACCGCTTTGTCTCCGCAAGCCAATGAACGCGAACCCAACGCCAAGTCGGTCCTCAAGTCCTTGCACATGAACGAGAACGAGAACGAGATTCGCAAGCTGCACCTTCTCGCACCGCATCAATCCTCCAGATCTTGTCCGAGGCCTATAAAGATCTCATCTCGTGCATCCAGCGGCTTTGCATGTGCTTCTCAGCCTCAAGCTCGGCCGACGCAATTCACCCGCCCCCGACGTGAAAACCTCCGACACGGCGACTTGCCCAAAACGGAACCGACAAATCAGCGTGCTCGCATTCCGCAACGACGACCGAGGCATCTTGCTCGACAAGCAGCGAAAGTGGTCCCAACGCGTCCAGGAGGTAGCATTCGGAGCGCGCGAAAGAGTCCAGTTCGTTTCAGTGCGTCATTATGCAAACGACGTGGCATGATTGAATTTCTTCTGATACTTTATAGATAGAGCGGGCTGTCCGGCTGCGACGAACGGTCAACACGACATCTTCAACTGACAACCAGCGTTTACTTTGATTCCTTGGACTTTTACCTTTTACATTTTATTATTCTTGCTTCCAACATGGCGGAACTTGAACCCATTCCCGGCCCTCCTGGCCTGCCCATCGTTGGCAACGTCACAGACATTGATGCCACAAATCCCGTACTGTCCATGTGTAATCTCACACTGAAATACGGTTAGTGGTTCCCTTGGTGCATACCTGCCTTGCTATCTGCTTCCCGCACATGGACTGAGTTTGGATGCGAATCTGCGAGCCGAGAACTAACGAGTGCAGGCCCGATATGGAAGTTCTACATTGGCGGCGAGCGTGTCGTTATCGCAAACCAAGCTCACATGGACGAGATCTGTGATGAAGAGCGGTTTTCGAAGGTCGTAGCGGCATCACTCGAACAGGTCCGCAACGGTGTCCACGATGGTCTGTTCACATCCTACGGACCACAAGAAGAGAACTGGGGTATTGCGCATCGCGTCCTGCTCCCTCAACTTGGCCCACTCGCTATCCGCAACATGTTCAACGAGATGCACGACATTGCGTCCCAACTCGTCATGAAGTGGGCAAGACACGGCCCTGAGCACACCATACACGTTACGGATGACTTCACCCGGTTGACTCTCGACACCATCGCCCTCTGCGCTATGGACTACCGTTTCAACTCCTACTACCAAGCAAAGATGCATCCATTCGTTGATGCCATGGCGGACTTCCTCAAGACCAGCGGAGACCGCGCAAGACGAGACCCCATCTCGCAGATGTTCTACGGCGCCGAGTCGCAAAAGTACTGGAAAGACATCGAACTGCTCCGCAAGACCAGTATGGACGTCATCAAGAACAGGAGGGAGAACCCGACCGACAAGAAAGATCTTCTGAACGGCATGTTGAACGGTGTCGACTCCAAGACTGGCAAAAAGATGACGGACGAGAATGTCATTGACAACATGATCACCTTCTTGATTGCTGGACATGAGACAACCTCCGGCTTGCTGTCGTTCACATTCTACTACCTTCTGAAGAACCCTCAGGCGTATGAGAAGGCGCAACAGGAAGTCGATGATGTGATTGGAAAGGGCCCGATTACTGTCGATCACTTGACGAAGCTTCCCTACTTGAACGCCGTGCTCCGCGAGGCTCTTCGTCTGCAACCTACTGCACCTTCGGTTGGTATGACTGCCAAGGAAGACACTACGATTGGAGGAAAGTATGCAGTCAAGGCGGGCGTTCCTCTCATTGCGTTGTTCCCGATGGTCCACCGCGATCCGGTCGCGTATGGTGAAGACGCCGAAGAGTTCCGACCTGAACGAATGCTTGATGCTGAGTTTGAGCGACGCAACAAAGAGTTCCCCAACTGCTGGAAGCCCTTTGGCAACGGCATGCGAGCCTGCATTGGAAGGCCATTCGCCTGGCAAGAGGCCCTTTTGGTGCTTGCGATTCTTCTCCAGAACTTCAACTTCACCATGGAAGACGCGTCGTACCAACTCCAGATCAAGCAGACGCTCACGATCAAGCCCAAAGACTTCTACATGCGCGCGCATCTCCGCAACGGAGTCTCCGCGACATCGCTCGAGCGCTCGCTGGCATCGGCTACTCTCAACGACCCTCCTCCGGCGAATGGGGCACCCGCTGTCAGGAAAGAGAAGACCACCAAGGGCAAGCCTATGGCCATCTACTACGGCTCCAACACCGGAACATGCGAAGCGCTTGCTAACCGCCTTGCTGGCGACGCCGCAAACCATGGCTTCAACGCGGAAGTTGTGGACACTCTGGATGCGGTGCGCGAGAGCATCCCCACCGACAAGCCCATTGTCATCATCACCGCATCCTACGAGGGCGCGCCTACCGATAACGCCGCGCACTTTGTCAACTGGATCGGTACACTGAAGGGCAAGGAGCTGGAGAATGTCTCGTATGCCGTCTTCGGATGC